CTGTCACATGAAGCTGGTTCTCAACTGGCTAAGTTATATGAGGGTTTCCCCTGTGCGTTCACATGACCAATGCCAAAGGGGCGTTTCACAGATCATATGACTCTTCTTCCACAGAAAACGATCCCTGTGAGTGCCACCTGCTCCAGAGATGCTAGCAAATAAAAATCTCTAAAAATCATACAAAATATATCAGTAAAATCCAACACTGTTGTGAAAAAAACAAGATAAATCTGATGATTTAGTGCAAACAATAAGCATTTTCATTCCAGTTAATTATTTGCAACATTGAAGTTTACTCTCCTTACAGGAATCCTTGGTGTGTTTTGTGTTTCCAGCAGTGTAAAACAGATTAACAGATTAGAGTGAAGTATGACAACATTTAGACATTTTCTAAATCACCAAATTAAAATACGGATATTCTTGTAGAGATGTGACTCTCAGTTTACGGTGTGTTTAGTAAGGTAGTTAGTTTAAAAAGCTGCCAATATAAAATGTACTCCTCCAACAGAGATTCTATATCACACATAAAACATGTTGAATTACAAAGAAATAAGTGGAAATGTTGCGTTTCCAGATGGTTTTACACTGAAACTAAAAACATTACATGCTTCCAGGAATTTTTTCTCAGTCCATTCTCTGCTTGCCGTACACCCTTCACATGACACTTTACATCAACCCTATTTTCCCATACTGTCAAACTGAATTCTGTCATTAAACCTTTTCCTACCCATCATCTGTCAGCCAGTCAGCCTTCGTTCCATATGCATTAAATCAGCGGTCCCCAACCCCCGGGCCACAGACTGGTACCGGGCCGCGAGAGTTGAGGCTTGGGTGTGAAATTTATGGTTTTCAGGGTTATTTTTGTTTTTTATCATTTTTTTTTATTGTTTTTAGCATTAACTCGGTTTCCCTGGATCTTTTCCCGTGTGTTATGAATAAATCTTCTTTTTTTGGTACTGGTACTGGTTTTATTTTGTTGTATTTATCCGCGCCACCTTAAAGGCTGGTCCGTGAAAATATTGTCGGACATAAACCGGTCCGTGGTGCAAAAAAAGGTTGGGGAGCGTTGCTTTAAATCTTAGTGCTCTTCGATCTTTTTGCCTTTCATGTCACTTCCTGTCTCCTCCCCATCTCCACATCATGCTGAAGAGTAAGTGTCTGATTAGTCATTTAGACCTTTACAACTGCAACAAAAAGCACATCACAAACTGAAGTCAGATTCAAACAGAATGGACACACTGTTAAATTCTGGAAAGTGGAAAGTTCTTGAATATTTTAAGTACCCAACTCTAATGCCTTCCCGCTTGATGTCAATAACGGTCTGGAAAGGCACAGTGGAGCAGGGCAAACAAAGGATTTCTGAACTTTTTTAAAATGTTTTTTTAATAAACAGGAAGTGAAACTGCTGAGATTAAAACATTCTTTTGCAAGAGTGTCCTGGGCTGACACAGGCACCATTAACCTTGCATGTTTTTTCATTGTGTTCAGAAGTCAACCATCAGAGCAGCATGGAAC